CATATACACACATACATACATCACAGTGGGGACACACACACAAGTACACACATATATCACAGTGTGCACCCCCCCCCATATACACACATACATACATCACAGTGGGGACACACACACAAGTACACACATATATCACAGTGTGCACCCCCCCCCATATACACACATACATACATCACAGTGGGGACACACACACAAGTACACACATATATCACAGTGTGCACCCCCCCCCATATACACACATACATACATCACAGTGGGGACACACACACAAGTACACACATATATCACAGTGTGCACCCCCCCCCATATACACACATACATACATCACAGTGGGGACACACACACAAGTACACACATATATCACAGTGTGCACCCCCCCCCATATACACACATACATACATCACAGTGGGGACACACACACAAGTACACACATATATCACAGTGTGCACCCCCCCCCATATACACACATACATACATCACAGTGGGGACACACACACAAGTACACACATATATCACAGTGTGCACCCCCCCCCATATACACACATACATACATCACAGTGGGGACACACACACAAGTACACACATATATCACAGTGTGCACCCCCCCCCATATACACACATACATACATCACAGTGGGGACACACACACAAGTACACACATATATCACAGTGTGCACCCCCCCCCATATACACACATACATACATCACAGTGGGGACACACACACAAGTACACACATATATCACAGTGTGCACCCCCCCCCATATACACACATACATACATCACAGTGGGGACACACACACAAGTACACACATATATCACAGTGTGCACCCCCCCCCATATACACACATACATATGAGTGTGCACACACACACATGTACACACATATATCACAGTGTGCACCCCCCCACATATACACACATACATCACAATGTACACATACACACACATATACACACATACATCACAGTGTGCACTTATACACACATACACACACACATACATCACAGTGTTCACCTACACAAACACACACAGGTGCACACACAGTGTATCACAGCACATACACACACACACACACACACACACACACACACACACCCCAGAACTTTCACGGGGACAGCCAGAAATGCAGCTATACTTTTTTCAGACATGTGGGGGTCATAATCTGACCTGTATAGAGCATTCAAGGGCTGGGTCTGGGAAAGGCGGTGGGTAGGGGAGATGGTTTTATAATTTATTGTGTCCAACACATACTCGTCAAACATGTACGGCAGTTGATTGACCTGGCATATTAAGCTTAGTGAGTGCCGGGAGCCACTGGAAGAGAGCAGTGGACCAACATCATAGGGACCCCTCTGTAGGGGCGGAACCAGCATCATAGGGACCCGTCTGTAGGGGGCAGCACCCTATTGGGTGTTGAGAAATCACACCCGGTTCAGGCTTCCCTGCTGCAGGGTGGGAAGAACATTATGGGGTGCTTAGTAGTCTGGGTACAATGTGGGGCACCCCAGACTGGTGGCCTGCAGCCTGGTTCACATGCAGCTCCTGGGCTCCTTGTCAGGGCAGTGAGTACCAGCACCTAGCACCCATCTGAGCCCTTTCCGGCCTCTTGTGCTTTACCCCACGTGGCTTATCCACATGCTGGACAGGAAGGGAACATGTGGTGTGGCCCTGGGTGGTTCTCCTGTCTGCTCAGTAGACAGAGCCCGAAGCCTCAGGAGCAGTTGGCCCTTTGCAGAAACCAGTCCAGCCACTGGCAGCCTCTCTCTCTCTCTCTCTCTCTCTCTCTCTCTCTCTCTCTCTCTCGTTGGCTGTGACAGCCACTGCCAGTGTCCCACTGCATCCTGGTGTCTGCTCTGTGAGGCTTATGTTGCTGAGCATGCGAGTTGAGAGGCCTTTCCAGGGTTCAAGTCCGGGGTAGCCAAGAGCCTGAGGCTGCCACAGGAAAGGCAGGAAAACAACCAGGAACTCCAAGCAGCTGCTCGGGGAGGACTGATGCTCCCCAGGCTGCGCAGGACCTGGCCAGCTGTCTGATCCAGGGTTTGATCCAATCTGTTTCTCCTGTTCCCAGCTGGATCCCGCAGGAAATGGTGTTGATAAATTAGGGCCTGGTGCTCGACTCCCACTCAGCTTCATTCATAATTTGCAGCGCGTAGCTGGCGGTAACTCAGGATCCTCCCCCGCCCCACCCCCCGCCCCACTGAGAACAGAGCCCCTGGGGTTGGAGGGCCACCCTACACATGGCCTCCAGGAGGGGTCGGTCGGTATAATGTTTATGGGAGACATTTAATCAATGGTCAGGGTCTCAGATGTGTCTGTCTTTCGTTTTTATTTCTATTTTTTTGTGGTACTGGAACAGAACCCAGAGTGTTGTGTGCGCTAAGCAAGTACTCTGGTGTTCAGCTACGTCAAGCCACATCCCAGGCCTCGGAATCTTCCTCTTCCTTTGGCGACGGGACCTTGCTGTGCAGCCTATGCTGGCCTGGAACTGGCAATCCTCCTGCCTCAGACTCCTGATTTCGGGGTTACAGGCATGTGCCACTCCTTGCCACTAGAGCCTGCACTTTGATCTAGAAATTCCACTCCCAGGGGCCTGTCCTCAAGAGTCACCTCTAGATGCACAGGGCCCCTGAATGGGATGCTCTTGATTGCCACAGCAAAAGATTAGAAAGAGCACAGTCTGAATCCATAGGATCTCAGGTAAGGCTAATAGGTAAACCCAGTGGAATACTCTATAGCAGAGTAAATGGAATGACGGTATTGTAGCCAGGTGTGAATGGTGTACAGCTCTAACCTGAGCATTTTGAAGGTGGAGGGAGGAAGGCCAGAGGTTCAAGGCCAGGCTGGACTACATAAGACCCTGTTACAAAAAAAACAAAAACAAAAAAAACCCAAAAAGAATAGAATCCAGGTATAAGTGAGCAGAGAATAAGCCACATGGGAACCGGCAAGAAGCCTGCCTCTCTGTAGCTGAGGAACACGGCCTCATGGGATAGCAGCTCTCCCAATACTGTGAGAAAATGAATGCATGATATTTAAATTCTCCCCGAGGCAGGAAGGGAGGCAGGCAGGCAGCAGACTAGGAGAAAAAATTTTGTAAGTTGTATATGCATTAAAGGATTTCCTGTTGTGTGAGTGTGCAGTGCGTGTTCATGTATGTGTATATGGACGTGTCTGTGTATGAACTCTTTACAACTCAATATTAAGAGCCCAACTGAAGACTGGAAAAATGGGGTTGAGGTGGAGCTCAGTGGCACAGTGCTTTCCCAGCATGTACAGTCCTGGCTCTCGTTCCCAGCACCACATTAAACATAAATTGTCAGAACTAGCAAATCGTCTGCATCATGGTGGCCCAGGGAGCGGCGGCTGGGCACATAGAAAGCTACTCAGTGTCTGAGTCCCTAGAAAGATGCAGTTGCAGACCAGGGCGGGAGTCCCCACATATCCACAAGATGGCCATGAGACAGCAGCAGACATTGATGGGGCTATGGAGACTCTGAAGCTTCACAGAAGGGGCAGGCATGGTGGCTGCTTCCAAAACTGGTTTGGCAGTTTTTAAAAGGTGAATGTAATTTTTGGGGGGGTGGATGTGATTTAATAGCAATTCACCTTCTAAGTGCTCACACCAAGGAACAGAAAACATCTGTCCATATACAAATTATACACAAATGCTCAGAGAAGTTCAATTCACAATAGCCAGGAAGAAGAAAAAAATTCAGGTGTGTATCAAACACAGAATGGCTAAATAAAACAGGATCTGTCCACACAGTGGAATATTATTCAGTCATGAAAAGGAATGACATGACATTCTGATCCATGGTAGAACACGGATGAATCTCAGAACACATGGTATGTGTAAGAAGTCAGACACAAAGCCACATGTTGTATAATCCATTTACAAGAAACATCTAGAACAGGGAAATCTGTAGAGACAGAAGTTGCTGCACAGCAGAAAGGGAAGGTGATATGAACAGACCAGGAGGATTGTATGTGTGCATGTGTGTGCATATGTGTGTACCACAACACCCATGTGGAGGTCAGAGGACTTGCAGGAGTTAGTTATCTCTTTCCCCCATGTGGATCCTGAGAATTATATGTGTGTACCACAACACCCATGTGGAGGTCAGAGGACTTGCAGGAGTTATCTCTTTCCCCCATGTGGATCCTGAGAATCGAACTCAGGTCATCAGCCTTGGTGACAGGGTCCTTTGCCGCTGAGCCATCTCACTGGTGCTGGAAGAATTTCTTTAGGGGCGATTGGAGTGACCAAAAACCAGTGGTAAATGTGACTCCACAACTCTATAAAGTCATTGGAGACCACTGAATTGTACACTTAAAAAGGCTGAATTTCACAGTATATTACATTTCTGTAAAGCTGTTTGAAAATTCTGGGGCTGGGAGTATGGCTCAGTGGGTAGAGTGCTTACCTAGCATGCACAAGCCCTGGGTTCCATCCCCAGCACCGCATAAACTGGGCATGGTAGTATACACCTTTAGCGCCAGCAAGATCAGGAGTCCAAGGTCATCCCCAACCACTGATTGAGTGCTAGACCAGTCTGGCATACATAGGACCCTGGACTTGACTCCTGTCAGAGGAGGACCCTTTAATTAGCATGTGGCTCTGGGCCAGCCAGTTGATTTTCTGGTGTCTGGGTTTCATACCTGTATACAGGGAGAGGTACAGCAGCTTCAGAAACAGTGACAGCCCACACAGCAGTGAGCCTAGGACAGCGTCAGTGTGTGCCATCTCATGTCATTCTGTACATTGTCAACTAGATAGCTGTGACTTGGCAGGTGTCAGCAAGACCCACGTGGTGTTGGAGGAGGGAGAGCCCAGTTCCGTGGCCTGAGTTAGAAATTCGCCTGGCAGCCCCAGCCCAGATTCACACCACAGTGCCGTGGCATTGGGAAGTGGGCTTGTCTGGCTGGGTGTGACTCACCCCCGTGGCCCGTGTGGCCTCTACCCTGTCCACTCTTACAAGAGCTTCTTCCTCTCTTACAGCCTGACCGCCCCTCAGGATGGAAATGCCTTCCGGATCTTCGCAGTCAGGCAGTGAACGTGCATCGCCAGGGAGAAGGGGGCATCCTCCACTGGGATTTGGGGTCTTGCTTTTTAGCCTTACTTTGTCCTGTGGGGGTGGGGTGGGGCCACGGAGGGTCAGGGAACGTCCTTTCAAAGGTATGCATCATCCTGTCCCTTCGTAGCCTTCGGTGAGGGTGACAGGGCATCTCTGCCCTGTGAGTGCAGGCTCAGCCTTGGGGTCTCAGCTGGACAACCGATGCCCAGACCTGTCAGGCGTATCCCCATCTGGTGGCTTGTCTCCTTTCAGGAGTTCATCAAGATAACCCTTGCCACATGTTCTTCGGTGGGTGGCGGGAAAGGAGTCCAGACCCCTCCACCAAGGACACAGGTTTCAGAGATGTTATGCATGGCTCTTGTCTGGAGGAGACGACAGTCCTAATTTAAAAATAAAAGTCACAGTCTGTCCCTCCGAATGGAGAAATAGGTTCCATGTTTGCTGGTCAGACAGATGGGCTGGAAGAAGAGGCTCAGAGCGAGACTCGGGGTCTGCCCTGGTGGCGTCCTTACTCGTGGCCCCATCTCTCTGGGCAGCCACGTGGCTGTGTTCAACAAAGCTTGTCTATTTAGAGTTGGATAGCACTCCAGGGGTTTATCTGGTCTTTGTTCCCGTCTAGGTGGCCTGTTTTCATGTGACTGTTGGTCTCATTGAGGACCAAAGCACCAGGAGCCTTTGCTACCCCATCCCCCGCCATGGCTCCTGTCCCACCCAGGCTGGCCTCTGTGTCCTCCCGGGCTTGGCTTAGAGAGACACTTGGTCTCTCAGGTGTTGGCCCACAGCCTCTGAACAAGGGCTGCCTCACTGTGTGTAAGTGACAGCTCACTGCCGCTCTCCCCCTAGTTTGGGTGACCTAGTTTTTAACTGTGGGAGGAATGGATTCTGGGCACATTCCTCCCTGAGGTTAGTGGCTCTGTCTGTGGTTGTAAAACCCACCTCGGAGCCCCAGCAGTGAGGGGCATGTAGGAAGGGTTCCTGTTCCTATCTGTGCCCGCCCCCCACCCCCTCGAGAGTGTTGTGAACTCTGGTTTCCATCTCTTACAAATGAGCCCGGCCTGAACCCATGGTGAAATGAAACACCCTTTTGTAAATAGCGTTGCTCTACACAGGGTAAAATTCCACCTCTAGCCCCTGGCCAGCTCACAGAGCTCCTTGTGAATGCTGGCTTCAATGAGGCTTCACTCTCCAGACAAATGTTCCTCAGGCAAAAGAAATAGTAACATCTAAGAGAATCTGAACAAGGCCCTGTACCTGGGGAACCACCGTAGCACCGTGCTGGGTTGAACCTTTGTTTGTTCAATACAGGGTTTCACTATGTAGTCCAGGCTGGCCTTGACTTACTAGGGAGCCCAGGCTGCCCTCAACTTGTGATCCTCCTGCCTCAGCCTCCCGAATGCTGGGATTACAGGTGTGACCATCGCACCTGGCTTCCTTAGTTAGGGACTGAGCTGATGGCTTCCCAAATCCAGTCTGCACAGGGAATTTGTGAAATCAACCCAACTGCTGAGCTAACTTCCATGGAGCTGTCTCTGCTCACACGGGAGGGCGAGCATCATTTGCAAGCGTGGACTTTTCCACTCCAGATGTCATAGTAGACACCCACTCAGCCTATTAGGCATCCCAAACATTCAGGAAACTTCCAGATGTGAGGGGTGCTGCAGGACTCTGGCTCCATCCACCGTGCTATGGTGTCGCAGGGCTGATGTGGTCAGGAGAGCCAGACCCCTACTGGGTTCCTAGAACGAGAGGCCATCCCCATCCCAGGGAGCCCTGTGTATTGGAACTTGCAGTATGAGTTGTGCTATCATTTGAACTTGTGTCTCCCAGGTTCCTCCAAGTTCCCCAGTGGCCCTTCCAGCAGGGCAGGGGCCTTGCCTGGACCAGCCCCAGCCCCGTTCCTCATAGTCACCGATAGTTTGAAACTGGAACTACACTAAGTTACAGATGACAAGGCCATGGCATTGGGGCGACTCTGGCCCTGTGTCCCCACTGGCTTTCCCAGATTTAAACCACGCCCAAGCCGGCTGTCTCACGTCGCCTGCCCAGTGACAGTTTCCGTTTGTTTTGGAGTCATGCCCAGGTGTGTTGGGAAGGATGTGTGGACTCTCCATTTGTCTGTAGGCTTGCGGGGCCCACAGTTTACTGTGTGCTTTTTTTCTATGAAAAATGATGTATTTTACTACTTCCTGTGTACAAGAGTTTATTGTAAATGTTTTCGTGCTTTGCGTGAACAAGGGCCACACTGGTTGTTGCTATGGTTTCAATAAAAATGGTTTGATTTCTAACACATTCTGTACATTCTGGTCTCACAAAGTGTGGAATCTTTTGCCTTGTCCCCAAAAGCTCTGAGCTGCTGGTGAGGCCTGTGTTACTTGGTGAGGGTCTCAGAGACCTCCCCTGGTCAGCCCAAGGGTGAGGCCCAAGGGTCATAGGGACTTATGACTTAACAAAACACAGTTCTGGCATGATGGGGAGAGGGTGGGGCCTCTCTGTTTCCTGTGAGCCCCAAGATTGCACTTTGAGGGGTGATATCTACTGATCTCCTGTCACTGATAGTCTAGTTACTTTCTGTGCCCGTTAAAACACTGAGCAAAACCAACTTGGGGAGGAAAGGGTTTATTTGGCTTACACACCCTGATCACAGTTCATCTTTGAGGGAAGTCAGGGCAGGAACTCAGGGCAGGAACCTGGAGGCAGGAGCTGGAGCACAGGCCATGGAGGAACACTGCTTACTGGTTTGTTCCCCTGACCCCTGCTCAGCCTGCTCACCCCCTGCCCAGGGGTGGCACCACCCACATCACTCAGTAATCAAGAAAATACCCCACAGACATGGCCACAGGCCAGTCCAGTAGAGGAAATTCCCCAATTGAGGCTCCCCAACCCAGGTGTGTCAAGTTGACAACTAACACTATCCAGTACAATTGACCTCTTGTTGACTTGACACACAAACATCACTTTAAAACACAACCTTTCCATTTCTTGTCCACAAGATCTCATGTTAATATTAATGCCATAATATAAAACAGTGCATCTTTAAAAGTCCCAGAGACCTTAGAAGTTCCAATTAAAAGTTCAATGTGTCTTCAAAGTAATCAGAAATCTCTCAGCTCCTGTAAAATAACCAATAAGCTAAATGCTTCTTACTCTGACAGGGAAGAGCCAGGGCGCAATTAGAGCAAAGCAAAACCAAAAACTGTAAATAGCTCAGCGTCTGACATCTGATGTTCACGCATGATTGGGCTCCAAAGGGCTTAGGTGGCTCCACCCATTGGGCGCTGCCATCCATAGCTCACAGCTTGTTTCACAGGCTCAGGCTGGTTCCATCCACACCTGCCACTCACTGTCTTTGGTGGTCGCCCCATGGCCCTGGCAACTCCAAAATGCTGGGGTCTCCACTGCAACCGAGGCCACACTTTCACCTGTTGCATCTCATGTGGCACCAGGCCTCAGATCGTCTCCATGATCCCTTCAATCCTGCAGGTCTCAGTGCTGCCAAAACCAGAACCATGCAGGAGACTCTTGCACATTACCAAGTCCTGCTTCTGGCTTGAGATGCAGCCTTGATCCCCTCTGGACCACAGCTTCTGTGTGCTGAAACACCTCCCAGAAGATTCCACCTCAGTGATGCTGGTCTCTTATTAATAATCATAACTGAATTTTCAGCCCCAGCTAACCAGCATCGATTGTCACAGTAATGCAAAGATTTCACTTTGGTGGTGCTGGTCTCTTGTCAATCACAGTTTATTCTTCAGCCCCAGACAACTGGGAGTGACAGAGTCTCAATTTCAAACATCACAGAGGTAGCGCCGATAGTGTTTATGGAATTCTCAAACTTCTCTCCAAAACTTCACAAGCCAGGCCTCCACCCCGCCCCCCCAGCCCCACAGAACAGCTCACTAAGCTCCAAGCACCTAATAGTTTTTCCAGTTCAAAGCTCTAAAAACATGCACCTTCCTCCCCAAAACTACATGGTCAGGCGTGTCACAACAATACGGCACTCCTGGTAGCAACTGCTGTCCTAGTTAGCTTTCTAGAGTTGTGATAAAACACTGACCAAAACCAGTTTGGGGAAGAAAGGGGTTATTTGGCTTACACATCCTGATCATAGTTCATCCTTGAGGGAAGTCAGGGCAGGAACTCAGGGCTGGAACTAAATCAAAGACCCTGAAGGAACGCTGCTTACTGGCGTGCTCCCCTGGTCCTTGCTCAGCCTGCTTTCTTATACAACCCAGGCCCAACTGCCCAGGGGTGGCACCAACCACAGTGGGCTGCCCCCGCATCACTCAACAATCAAGAAAATGTCTCACAGACATGTCCAAAGGCCGATCCAATACAGGAAATTCCCAAACTGAGGTTCCCTCTTCCCGTGTGTCAAGTGGACAACTGACACATTGATGAGAGCTGCAGTGACACCTGAGGACTGCTGGGGTGGCCTAGATAACAGAAGCTGGAGGTCCATGATCAAGGAGCGGGCAGGGCTGGCTTCCCTGAGACCTCTGTCCGTGGTTTGGGCCGTCTTGCTGTGCCCTCTATGCTGGGGCCTCTCCCTTGCTTCTATAACAGCATATTGGATTGACCTACCCTTAGGACCCCTAGTCATCTACTCACCTCTTTAATGACCCGCATGTTCCAATATGTCCCCTTCAGGGGTCAGGCCTCCACCACAGGAATCCAGGATAGGCAGCGATACAGTTCCAAATAAGCCTGTTATTATCAGGCAGAAGCTCAGGAACAGCCCTGCTGACTTCCTACGTGGAGAGATGGGCTTCTTTTCTGGGGACCCCATTACCTAGCACCCCTCTTCCCCAAACCTCCATGCTGAGAACATTCACACATATCACATTGAAAAGCTGAGGAGTCAATGACCAGGGATCAGCCAGTAGCCAGGATTCCTGCCAGCTCTTCATCCTCCATCCTTCATCAGAGGACAGTGGCCAGATCACCTAAGTTATTTCAGAAAAAGGGCATGGAGGGATGACACCATGTCTCTGCCAGGAAAGAAAGCGTTTCCTGGTCTCCAGCACCTGCTTTTGGGAGTTGTTTGTTTGTTTGTTTGGTTGCTTGGTCGGCTCTGTGTGGTTGTTGGTTGGTTGAGGGGTTTAGCTGTTTGGTTGATTGGTTGGGTAGGTGGGTGAGTGGTTGGTTGGTTATTTGGTTGGTTGACTGATTAGTTGGTTGATTGGTAATTTGATTGATTGTCTGGTTGCTTGGTTATTTGGTTCGTTGTTTGATTAGCTGGTTGTTTGTTTGGTAATTTGGTTGATTGGATGGTCATATGGTTGGTTGATAAGTTGGTTAATTATTTGGTTGATTGGTTGGTTGGTTGTTGCTTGACTTCTTTGGTTGGTTGGTTGGTTGTTTGATTGGCTTACTGATTGGTTGACTGGTTGTTTTGTTGGATGATTGGCTGGTTGTTTGGTTAGTTAGCTGATTAGTTAACTTTTTTGTTGCTTAGTTGATTGGTTTGTTGGTTGACTGGTTGATTGCTTGGCTGGTTGGCTGGTTGTTTGATTGGCTGGTTTGGCTGGTTGGCTGGTTGTTTGATTGGCTGGTTTGGCTGGTTGTTTGATTGGCTGGTTGTTTGATTGGCTGGTTGGCTGGTTGTTTGATTGGCTGGTTGGTTGGTTGGCTGGTTGGCTGGTTGGCTGGTTGGCTGGTTGTTTGCTTGGCTGGTTGGCTGGTTGGCTGGTTGGCTGGTTGGCTGGTTGGTTGGTTGGTTGGTTGGTTGGTTGGCTGGAGTGCTGGAGTGCTGGAGATTGAACCAGGGCCTCCTGCATGCCCGGCAAACACTTTCCGACTGAGTGTCATCCCCTGCCTGCTTTGTGTCTCTTTTATAAATGGGCCACAGACCTGCTTCTAGACTTATAAGTAAGGGGTCAAAGGTCAGAGAAGGAAGGCTCAGAACTGTGAAGGCCACCCCTACACATTTCCTGGAGTACTTTAAAAGTGGGACCCAGATACCCCTATGCTGCAGCCCTTGCCATGCTCAGGACCTACTGTGCCACACTGCACAAGTCGCTGGACCTCTGAGCGTCCCTCACCTTGCTAGTCAGAGGCAGTAGCAATGGTGCTACGTAGCCAGTGAGTGAAATGAGGCCAGTGTGAGCAGCACTGAGCACACGGCAGGTGTGCAGTTGTCCCCCATAGGTGCTATGGTCATTTTGCAGGGAGCAACTGCTCCCGATGGGCACATGTCACTAAGAGTTAGAGCTCTGCCAAGCACAGTTAAGTGTGTACTAACGGGAGAACAATCACACACGAGGTGTTTGAAAGAAGAAGTGTGTTCCTTCTCTGGCAGAGGAGGACAGCATCCAGAATATCTGGGTCTAGGTGGCCCACTGTGGCTCCCCTCTCCTTCCCCACGCTGCCTGAGGTGTCGGGGCTCCTGGGGAAGGGTGATGTGGCATGACAGGATCGTGGATCCCCAATCAGTTGTCCCCCATAGGTGCTATGGTCATTTTGCAGGGAGCAACTGCTCCCGATGGGCACATGTCACTAAGAGTTAGAGCTCTGCCAAGCACAGTTCAGTGTGTACTAACGGGAGAACAATCACACACGAGGTGTTTGAAAGAAGTGTGTTCCTTCTCTGGCAGAGGAGGACAGCATCCAGAATATCTGGGTCTAGGTGGCCCACTGTGGCTCCCCTCTCCTTCCCCACGCTGCCTGAGGTGTCTGGGCTCCTGGGGAAGGGTGATGTGGCATGACAGGATCGTGGATCCCCAACCTTGGACAGTCCCTTCTAGACCAGAGGAAGCTGTGCATACCCTCCCTTCCTTCCCTTCTTAGAGGGTCTCCTGGATCCCAGGCTGGCTTTGAACTTGCTAAGTAGCTGAGGATGACCTTGAACTTCTGATCTTCTGTCTTCACCTACCAAGTGTGGGGATTACGGGGGGCCCCCCCACATCTGGTTTATCGTGCATGCTGTGTAAGCTCTCTGCCAGCTGAGCTCCATCCTCAAGCCACAGACTTTTTTCCTCCCAACTTTTTATTTTGACTTAATTTCAGACTTGCAGGGAAGCCCCAGGAACAGTGACAGGGAGCCGCCTGTCCCCCTCAGATGCCCAGACACTTCTTTATTGCAATGCTCTGCTTCTTCCTTTCTGTCTCTGATCCCTCTAGATTGTTTTAGAAGCCATTGAGCCATGAACAAGACCCTTCACCTCTGGAGGGTCTGAGGTGCACTCCCTAAGAACAAGGGCTCCTCTCCGGTGATGACATTGTCCCCTGTGATCAGGTCCCATGTTGTGGCTCAGGAGCTACTGCGGTACAATGTGGGTCTAATCTACAGACCTCACT